AGCCTTGCTGGCTGGGGAATTCTGGGAGTTGAGGTCCACCCAACTTAAAGTGGCCAAGGTTGAGGAACCCTGGTTTAGAACCCTGGTTGCCTTTTTGCCTGAAATTCATGGCCTGCTCTGCAGATGGAAGGCTGCCAAATTCCAGCTTTCTGCAGAACATAGTGTGCCAATGTGCCTGCAACTCTTGCCTTTGGGTGTTCAACCTGGGAAGACTCACCACAAGAGTTCCTTTGTGGGCTTGAGCCCAAACCCTGTTAAAAATACCAAAAGCCTCCCACAGAGCCATTGAACCAGGAAGTATGAATTAAATACACCATTAATAGAAGCTGTCCTGAATTCTGGATTCCGCTTAAGAAATCAGCTGGGGAACTGTGGTTGTAAGATGCAGCGTGGTAGAATTTGGTCCCGAAAAATGAGCTCTTCAAAATGCATGCACGCACACATTCATATTTATTTATTTATTTATGAAACTTACATGGCCACCCAACTTGAAGCATGCCACTCTGGGTGGCCTACAAGAAACAAATAACAAAATGAAGAAACAATAAACGAACTACAGTTACATCTCAACAGCAGCAATTAATAAGCAATTAGGAACCCAAACTTGCTTCATAGCCTCCATGGGGGAACTCCAATAATCATGGCCCCAAAACCTTTGTATTGTATTTTGAGAGAACCAGCCTTGATTCTAAGTCTACTGAATGAAAAGAATAATTTTGTAACTCACGTCCTATCAGATGCAGACACAAGCAGAAATTGTGATTGTTTATTCGCTAAAAGTATGATGGGATATTAATCTTGTGATGGGTAAGTCCATCAGAAGGGGACGTCTACCCACATAAAGCAAACTGAGCTGTTTGGATTCCTCCAGGAAAAGATGTATTATGATATCACAAGAAACGTATGTAGTGCTGTCAGAATTCTAGAGTGAAGAGTTTGGAACCCATGAAAGACACCTAAGTAGTTGTATCCAAGACTACCACTGCGAAGGATCAAGGTAACTGCTGAACGGCCTGTGTCTAAAAACCTGATTGCAAGCTATTTTTGAGATATGTACATCGGCAGTGCATGGAAGTACACTGAATAAGCAGCCGCCAGCACCTTCATCTTGTTTTAGCCTAAAATATTTCATCTTCTTAGGGCCAGGTATACTGAGTAACAAAGAGAAAATAGATTTCCCAGACACCAACCAACCAAACCTGAGGTTACAGAAGAACCCAACTGGCCTGTCCCTCAACAGGAGATCTGGAGTTTCCCAAAGCAGCTACGAGGTGCCTTTAAATGACACACTCCCCAAACCACCAAATGACTGCTTGGCAAGGGTACATCAACAATTTCATGAGAGATGGGTTATGCTGGGATGCAGCAGTCATCTCTGTAGCACAACAGCAGGTCTTACGTGCCCACCAAGGTGGCATCTTGGCCAAAATGACCAAACCAGAAATCCAAGCTCTCCTTGGTAGGAATAGAAACATACTCCTCACTCAGGGGTTGACTCTGGGTGGCCACAAGTGTCTGGTCATACGAGACAATCTGTACACTGATGCCCAACAGCATACAATGGATCTCCGAACCAAACTCTACTACGGGGACAGCGAGGACAACTGCACCCATGCTATCACTGTGGTCCTGGTTAATCCTATCTGCCTAATCCTCATTGGGACGAAGGGGATTCAGGGAGGGACACTGAATCTGAAAGCTTTCCAGACAGCAAAGTACCTCAAAGAGCATTTACGCCAATAAACACGCTACAAGCTTCTACCATCATGCCAGCTATGGGCCCCCCTTTTACCAGACCAGCTTGCAGAGGATGTTTTTCTTTCCATCCTGATGAGGGGCATGCTGGAAAGGGGAGTCCTGGTAACTGCTAAGGAAGTCCAAGTCTGGTGGGACTGATGTTTCGGACTTGATGTTCTTAAGCTTCATCTTTCTAAGTACAAAATGAGCACATTGGAATCAACCTCCATCTACAGCTCCTGGAGGCAGTAGCAGCTCTCCGGAAATACCCCAAGAAGGTCCTACTAATGACTGGTTCACATTTGCATCTTTCCCAAGAATGCTGTGAATCTGCTTACTTTTACAGTACTGCTCGCCTACCTCATCCTCAGCAATCCTGAATGTTTCCTAGGTGCCACCCTGGATCTACTCGGGACAATCTTCTAGTCTCCCCTATTAACATATCCTGCAGTTCAATCCCAGTGTAACCTTATATCCTGTCTCCCCAAGGGCACGTTTGTAGGTCACTCCTTTAATATGCTAATATTCTTAATTCATTCCTGGCTGCTTCCATTTCTATTTTTGATGCTGCCAGCTATTTTGATTAGGCTTTCTTAAAAAATTTAAAGAGATTTCCAAAAATACAGTTATTTTCTAGTCTATAATCTTGTTCTCTTTGTAATTTGCTTAATTCTGCTCTGCACATCCATTCCCCATTGTCCAAAAACTGCTCTCCCACCACTATGAGCTCCACATTCTGTCACTCCCAATCAATTAATATTTGGGCTTGGCTAACATGCTGCCTTGGGTTGTTCTCTATCTATGAGGAGTTTGCAGAAACTTACTGTACTGGCTCGGATTCCTGTGATAAGTGAGGGGAAAATGTCTTTCCTTACGTGTCCTTATCTCACATAACTTCAAAGCACAACAGTGTTCGAATCCCTTGGACTGCACACAAAGTCATAGAATCATTCTAGTCCATTTTTATTTACAGATATACATATGATAAATAAATGCCAACAACTTGATCACTGAATTGTTGCTCTCTCCAATTTTGCTTGACAAAGATCAAATAAAGGTACCCAGTTAAAAGAATGCTTCAACGGAGAACTAATATTTGTACTCAATATTACCATCAACTTTCTCAGATTTGTAATTTCCCAATTGCTCTAGATTAAAAAACAAAAACCCAAGCAGAATGAATATACTTTAACTGCTGCTCTATAAAAATCTTTAAACAGTTAACTGTCCTCTTTAACAAGGCATGATAAATAACAAACGCAAGCAGATCACAACTTTCTTGCCATCATGTCCAAAGTCCAAGGTAGGATGTGAAAGTAGAACCATTTTAAACCAGACCACTGAATTCTTCAATAGGGGTGCATGTGTGTGTAGGGGTGTGTGTGCAAGAGAGATTTTGGCACAATCTCTCGTCTTCCTTCCCCAATTAAAGGCTGTAACAGTCAGAATATGATTTTCTGATCGACAAAATAGACCCCTTGCTCAGAGACAGAGGAAGTGCCATCCAGCGCCTTCCCTGTCACTCCCAACACTGCAGGAATCCTTCATCAAGGACAACAGGTACAGAGATGCTTGGCCACTTCGAGTAGAGGGAATGGAAGCCGGATTAAGACAGCCAGAGCGTTCCTCTTCGCCTTCCACATTTATAAAAGAACCCTGCTGCTGCTTTTGTCACACACAGCATTGCAAGCATGGGAAACAGCAGGTACTTTTTTCTAGCTGTTCAAAGATAGGATGACAATAACCATAGGAGCAATTTCATCAAGCGCCTGATGGAGCTGGTCTAGACAGTGAAGGCGTACGGGGTATCTCGCTGCTGAAGACACAGTCTACTATTTGGGAATGTGTCCTCCCAAACCTCTCACACCGTGCCTTTTTCTCCTACTGCAGTGTGTGGTAGTTAAGATCCAGAAGGTGAAAGAGAAAAGGCGTCACTGTACAATCTCATATAGATGTTTGGAATGGTGATATCTTCTCTAGCATCTGCAAGAAACAGCTGCTAAACAGGTAATCTTGGCTCCAAGTCTCACATCTTTCCAATCTCCCTATTGGGGTAACATCACCAGGGAATATGCACAGATTTTCTGATGGACCCCTTGTTCAGAGACAGAGGAGCTGCTATCCAGCACCTTCCCTGCCACTCCGGTCACTGCAGGAATCCTTCATCAAGGACAACAGGCAGAGCGATTAATAACTTAATGTAATAATGAATAAGTTATTAAAGTTGTTAAAAAGGTGCAAGTCATGTCCTGTATGGAACTGGGAGGAAGGATTGCAGCAAGCCTTCAGTTCTGGTTTCCAGAGATCCTAGAGCTCCAGAGGCCCTCAGACCACAAGACTCTTTTAGCAGAGTCTTCTTAGAAATGCCTCTGTCTTCATCAACTTAGGAACAGGCACTTATGGAGAGCCCATATCAGTGTTGTTTAGGCAGATCAACTAGCTACTCTGGCAAGCAGCTTTGCAGCAGCTCTATCGATGCTTGTATGCCAGCAACGATTCAAAATCTGGAGCGCAAACCAGCTTGTGCTTCACATGGCCCAGGACAATCATCTCGCCACTCCGATTGTCCCCAATGCTGACTGACACCAGCTCCTTGCAAAACCAAGAGAAAAGAACAATTACTCCAAAGCCTCTCCAAAGTAATGAATAAGTAAGCACCCAGACCTAATCAAGGAACCTTTACAAGTCTGAAAAAGCAACAGATTCTGTGAAACAGCTTTTGAGCGCCAGAATGAGCTGCTAAGTGGAAGATCTCAGCCACGTGCTGTATCTGCTAATTTCCCCTATGCAAAGGCCCTTTAGAAATGTAAACAATTCCCATTCATTTAAATTATGCCAGAGCAAAAGAAAAAACAAAAAAACCCTGCCCTACCCTGAAAGCTCAGGGCTGACAATATCAGGGTATTTTTAAAAAAGTTTAATGAACAAGAATACTTGTTTAATCCCTCCCCCCCACCTCTGGCAAGACTTTTTAAATTATGCCTCAACCTAGACTCTGTAAATCAAGCAATAAGGGACTGTACTCTTCATGGCTCACAATCCCACAGAATTTTAAAAGACTTCTCCAGAAAGATGCATGGAATGAACTGGAGATGTCAAATCTGCTTCATACGTGGCTACTCCTTAGGAACAGCTTTTGCACAGCGCCATCAGAGGTTGGCTGCACCCCCTATGAAGCCACATTAACAGCCAGCCGCCTCCAGCCGCCCTTCTTCTACGCTCTTGTTGCAACATCTTTCATTCAACTTACTTTTTGTCTGTACTATTCTGCCTCCGCAGCAGAAAAAAAGTATCTCTGGGCATTTCTTGCCAACGCCCTCCACTCCCAATTTGTATCAAAATTTAAAAGCCCAAATTATAAATACACTCAATCTTCACCCAGGTCTTTGGCAAGGGAGAATGAGACCCTTCACTTTGTTTCATCTGGTCTGTTGCACCTGCTATCTTTTATCTTTTATTGATTTTACTGTAAGTTGTTTGTTCCATTGTTGTGAGCTAACCAGTGTTGTTGGGAGTTGGGTGGCATACAAGTTTAATAGTAAATTATTATTACTATTACATACATGTATGTA